TAGTCAGTGTAACTGCTTATTAAAGTAAGCCAAACTCTAGATTTTCTTCATGCTTTATTTGATTTTAATTGAAACCAGGTGTTTATATAGATTGCACAAAAAGACAAAAGGCTGTTTTATAGTCTCAGAGTTTAAATCAGACTTCTCTTACTAAGGTCGGTATTGAAAAGTGTATTTTATATATATATATATATATATATATATATATATATATATATATATATATATATATATACATGTACAAATGCACAATGCATGTACAAATGCACAATTGTTATATTGTCTAAAACTTAAATTTTAAGTCCACCTGACCAGAAAACATATTTTCAAAAAATGTCTCTTTTGCCTGAATGAATTTATAAACTCTAATATGACTCATGTTGCTTTTATGATGAAGTACTTGTTGCGTTGTGTATAGGGTTTTCTTTTCAGCTGCAATCAGGATGTTTAATGTTAGGTTTTTATTCTGTATTTGTTAAACATCTGGGGTTTTTAAATCACCTTATTTATTCTGTAAACCTCAAAATTAAATAATTCCTCACATATTATGCTGACATTTAGAAAATGTAAATACTTTTGGCAACCCTAACTGAAGCAGACACAAATTTCAGTCTGGTTTAGTGCCTCACAATGATGAAATAGAGGTTTCTCCATTCCCCAATTTGCATAATAAGGTACCATCTAAATTCAGCTGTGTGTACATCTGGTAAGATACTGACTGCCGATTAACAGGTATCTGAATTCCTCTAAAAAGATAGAACCATCCATTTAAGGTTTTGAGTGATCTGTCTTTTCAAACCCATAACAAGTTGTGGCAAAATACTTAGCCTAGTTCTTCTGGAGGTTTTCATGATAAAATGGGAGTTTTCTCTTCATTGTCAAAGTAACTGACACAACAAAATTGCCTGTTTACTTTAGTCACATCCTCAACAGGAGGAGTGAATAAATCTTTAAATAAAAAACAATCTGCCTGTATGATTTAATTACATAACCATGAAAAGTGCCTTGAGATTTGCACTATATAAGGAAACAAAATTTAATTAAACTAAAAGTTGCATTTTACTGTGAAATTTACCAACATCACTCAAAGTCCATTTATGATTAATTTTACTTTCCCTTCCAAGTTCTATTCAAGTTTTTGGTAATCATGACATATGCATGACCGATGAGGCAATGTCCACCTACGATAAAGAAGTGAAAGAGAAGTCTATTGCTCAAGTTCAAATTTATAAAGTCAAGACATCTACAGTGATAAACCAAGTGAGGAGGGCAAGGTAGGAGGTTTAACAAACCAGTATCTATCAATAGACCTAAAAGTACCCTGAGTTATGCTCAATTTTAAGAACTGCAACCAGTCCTGTGCTGGTAGTACGGTATCACTTTTTTCACTTAACCCGTTCTTACTACAATATTAGGTCAAAATGTTTTGGGGGTTTTTCCTCTCAGCAGATGTACTTTTTGGTAAATGTGCTCACTGTTTTGTTTTCTGTCACCAGTTTACAGCCACACATCTATTTCACATATTCTGATTTATAGATGTTTTCTTTTCATCAGGATAATTTTGAGTTTTAAGATGGTGCTGTGACAATTGCAATATTATTGGAAGTAACTTTCTGATGAAATATGATTATATAAATGCACTTGAATTGTAATCTATCATTTAAAACTTCAATATATATATATATACATTTCTATTTTAAGATTATTATTATTATAGCACATTTTTCAATACTAGTTTGTTCTGAACTTTATTTTTTTAACTTCACTTGGTAAGAAAATCACATATTTATTATGTGATTACCCACATACTATAGCTATGTGTAACTGAATACTTTTGTATAGGAGTGTACTAGGCTGAGTTGGTGTACTTCGTCAGTAAACACCTTTAAGGTCATCTTACAATGAGCTTGAGCTGCTTGGCATTGCACCGCATGTTTAAAAATCTTACATTAAGTCAGACTTCACAAAATGAACAAAAGTTAGATATTTACTGTGTGTGCTTGCATTGGATTTTAGGTCATGTTTTTTTTACAGCTCACCTCTGTAGTAAATACAGAACTGATGAACAGGAAACCAGTGTTCAGCAGTGTGCCTAATGCAGGCAACATGAAATGCAACCAACCATAGCAGCTGATACTGCTGGTGTTAGGGGATTTTAAGTTATTCTCTGACATTTTTGTGATAGTGTCTTGCTGCTGACTCTGGATGAATTTTTCCTACTTGTTAAATCAAACTCTCCCTTGGTGCACGGAAACAGTCAAGACCTCCGCTTGTTTCCTCCAGAATGTGTCAAACGAAAGACAGGGGTGAGCAAGGTGAGGGCAGGAGGATGGGAGGAAGGCGGGGGGAAAGGGAAGAAAGATGAGACAGGACGGTGCACAGGCCATTTAGCGAGAGCATGTTCATTAGCATGGAGCATGGGCTGTTTCATCTCTTCTGGGAAAGAGTTGTGCTATCCTGACATCCTTGATACAGTAAACAAACTGCGCCTTGTACGGGCTTCAACGCACAACAACTGTGCTCCCCTGTTGAAAATGAATCCATTTTAGCAGGGCGCTCAACTGAATCGAAACGTTCCTATTAATTAGTTTTATTGAAGAAATCGTTTCAACACTAGCTGATGGTAAGCAGACTGAAAGAGATGTTGTGGATTTTTATTTTTTTTAGGTTGAGATGTGACTGTCACGTCTCAGACCCTTCAAGTCAGCTTATTACGCCTTTGCCGTGTTGAGAGAAATTCTGCACTCTCAGCTCGTCTTTTATCAAAATCGTTCAAGTTCAGAGCATGACTGGAGAGATTGATGGAAAATTGAGCTGCTCTCTCATGCAGCAAAGAACAGTGCAGCCATTCCCCTCACCCATCACTCCTCAATCAGCCCAAATGTGCACAGATATAGACTATTGATAAATGCCTCTGAACTATTCTAAGACTGGAAATTTAAGGGCTTCTGATTTTGCCTTGTACGTCAGTGGTGCACGGATAAATCTGGCTAAGTGCTGGACAGTGATACTCACTGACACCTGAGGCAGTCGTGTATTTCTTCGTGCGAGGACGCCAAATACCAATTTATCTTCAGACGTGTGTCTCTTTCTCATTATTGAGGTCTATAACTTCCAGAAATTGCCTCCTAAATCACATTGTATCTTACAGTGTGTGAATTCTCGCTGAAATAGCAGACAGTGTCCGCTGTTTCATGGTAAAATAACTGGCTTAATTTTTTTCAGTGTTACTCACTCAAGGAGGCTGGGATAACCTTAAAGCATTGCTGAGATTGAAGTAAAAACTGGAGTTTAAAATTATAAAATATTTGAATACAATTTTTTGTGCATTTAAGTTTTGCTTTTTTTTTTTTTTTTTTTTTTTTTTTATATATCCTTTTTTTTTACAAAAGAGACTGCAAAAAATATCAAGGGTTAAATTTTGTTATTTATACAAATATCAAATACAATTTATCCAGCATAATGTCATAGGTNAACTGGCTTAATTTTTTTCAGTGTTACTCACTCAAGGAGGCTGGGATAACCTTAAAGCATTGCTGAGATTGAAGTAAAAACTGGAGTTTAAAATTTTGGACTGTTTTCTTACTGTCCCTGCTTAAGAAAGCAGTTTTTTTTTTTTTTTTTTTTTTTTTTTTTACATATATCCTTTTTTTTGACAAAAGAGACTGCAAAAAATATCAAGGGTTAAATTTTGTTATTTATACAAATATCAAATACAATTTATCCAGCATAATGTCATAGGTGTAAAAGTGCAGAGAACAAAAAAATAGGGACACTGGTCTTCAAGGACTTGAGTCTAGGACGTTAGACTATCCAGAGTCTAAGGTCTATGCTGTTTTCTGTTCTGCAAAGGCCAAAGCTTTTCTATAGTATTTAACTTTTGAGACAGAAGGCAATGGAGGAAGGTTGGTCTCATGTCTGGAAAAGTATTTTGATTTTGTCAAATGTTTTGGATTTGGATCTCCAGGTGCCAGTTATCACTTTGTTCTAATTGTTTACAAAAATCACTTTGCTTCGCTTTGTTAAAGCATCCCCTGGGCACACGGAATTGCATATCTGTCACCAGAGTTAACAGTGGTCATAAGGGAATTTTCCATTGAATTTTGTTCATTTGAACAAATTGCGGAATATCACTTTAAAGTTTTAGTAGGATTTAACTAAGATTGCAAGTCTACAAATGTGATGGTAGGTCAGAAAAGCTTTCTACCTGTCACCATCCTTTTACAACTGGCAGATTATGGTGAATAGATGACCATTGGATGGCATTCTTACTTAAGTTCTTCAACAGTGTAATTTCTGACATTTTTCACGTCCTTCAACATCCTTATGACTGTGTTTTATAATGAAATGGGTTTCACACTTAACTTTTTTAAAGTTCCAATCGTTTTGGTTCTGATTGTGAATAAAGACTTATATTGCTGAGTAGCCCCATTCAGATGTTATATGACCGCCCTCCATCTTCCTTATCTAAATGACACTCTAATCTTTTTGCACCTTTACAAAGTGGCTAAGAGAAAGGCTTTGTGCCACTTTATATTTATATCCAAGTTTATATAGAATTCATCAGATAGTAACTGCTCCCGACACACCTTTCAACTTAAATTAACTTAATTTAAACCTGTAGAAATGATTCATATGACATAGTTTTGTAGGACTTTCCTGGGTTGAAGTTTATTATTGTGGGTGCAGTTTATTACTGTGGCATTTGTAATAAAAAACTGCATTTTAGTTTTCACTGAAAAAGAAATTGTTAAAGTTTTTACTATAGGGTTACACTGCGTACATTTTTCTACAGGTACACGTATTTACAAAGATTCCTCTTATTTATTTTCTCTCAAGATCTTTTGATTGGCTCACTCGAACATTCATTTTGCACACTCATGGCTGTGGTTTATGTGCATGTGCATTATGCTGCATTTTTACTGCTTTTACTGGCTGGGGAGGTTCATAACAATGTTAATTTTGTTATTTTTTGTTTATTTTTTTTCCTTTTTGTTAAGACTCCAGAGCTGGTGAGGGAGCACCACAGAAAATCGACCATGCTGTCATTGGAGGAGTCGTTGCCGTTGTGATGTTTGCAATCCTCTGTGCACTCATTGTGCTCGGGCGGTACTTTGCCAGACACAAAGGTAAAGCACCAGCACTGCAACCACTCTGGATTGCTAACACATTGTTAAGTGTTTAAGTGCTTTATTTGGAGAAAGCGTGCCATAGAGTTGAAGAGTATAGGGAGGTGGAGTTGTCTGCCTGCTAATTTGTCTGGCACCTTTTTTTGCAGGAACTTACTTCACACATGAAGCCAAAGGAGCAGACGATGCGGCTGATGCAGACACAGCAATCATCAACGCTGAGGGGGGGCACAACAACACAGATGAGAAGAAGGAGTATTACATCTAAACTAGGCGGGCCTGGAGTGGTGGTTTGGGATGCTGTGGGAGCACTGTGTCCAGCATTGATTGGTAACAAGATGGCTTGGGTTAGGGTAAAAAAAGAAAGGAGGGTAAAACACGGAGAAAAGCAAGAATGGCATAGACGTGTGGGAAAAAGAGCCGTTACTTGGTCTCCTATCCGACCCTTTCTGGACTGCTGGGTCCTATTATGTACAGGTTAATTATTTTACAGAGAATTTTGTGCCTTGTTCTATTTCTTTTGTTGGTTTATATTCACATGCTTGTTGGATTGAATACTTTCTCCATGTACTCTACTTGATCCTTTGTTGCAATTGGCATTCAGAAGACATAGAAAAGGGTCTGGTGTTTATCAGTGTGTGCTGCAACTAGCTTTTAGCTTGTGTAATCAGATATATGAAAGGCCAGATCAGTCACACTTTTTTCTTAAGTCATTTCCAGAGTTTAGTAAATGAAACCCAATATCACAGTGTTTCTTTCTGTTTGGCCAAAATCCTGTGGTGCCTCCAAGTTTATCATATTTAGATGCAGGTCTAATTGGTTGTCATATATTCCGTCAGATAATACAAGGCCCTCTTCAAATTCAGGCCCACTGTTTATTACTTACTTTAGCAGTTTGGATAATCTTGCATATCTTTGAATGTATTTGCTAAAGAAGTCCAAATGATGAGAAACAGTAACGTGATATGTATCTGTATGGGGTTTAAATCAAGCTGTAAGATGCAGCCACTCCCTCAAAGATTATGTGATCTAGACAGAAACATGCTCTGAACCCATTGTCAATATTGCTTCCTTGTCCCTTTAAAGTGGAAATGACACAATTAACCCAACTTGCTTCATTTACGAGATTGTAATATAATATTATCAGCTATTATATTACAATTGTGAAAAATATTACTTTAAAGAAAAAACGCAGCATTGATTTTTAAATTATTGGCAAAGGCGCCACCATAATACAATACTCTATGCAGTGACATTACGGGTTGGTTTCCTCTGTACCTTCTGGTTGAATAAATTGGAAATATCCACTATACTTTACAACCATAAAATAGCTCAGAAATGTGGTATGATGGAAGGGGAAACTGAAAGGACCCTAGAGCATCTAAATCCCTAATACTAATGACCACCAATTCAAATGAGCAAACCTTGGTAATGTACAATCCACAATCCACACAGTACCTGATGCAGGTCAGCCTCCTGACTGAAGATGGACTTAATCACAGTTGGCATAGGTGAACAACAGCATTGCCACCCTGCTCCATCACAAACACATGTACTGGTGTGAGAAATCTGACCGTAGCGCATCCAGATACTGCAGAGTTATCTACTGTATCTGCAACTTGTGTTGTGCTATCAGTCTGCGCATGTGCATCCTCACAAGGTTGGGTGGATCAGTAGCATTGATAGTTCACAGCTGTCTGTTCTCTCCTTACCAGATCTCAAGCCAAATGCTCAATGGGTTCTAAAACATAAGCAATGGAATTTAGATGCTTTGTTTTTTTATGGCGGTGAAGTATAGCTGTTATTTACAATGGATTCAGAGCTACAGAGCGAACCGATCCATGTCACTGCTTCGAGTACTGCAACATGGCCAGGCCCTTGCCAAAAATGCATAAAACAATACTACTTTTTTTCTTTTACATCTATGTTTTTCACGTTTGTAAAATAATTATGAATAATAATAAGACACAAACTTATGAATTTAGTTTGGTTAACCATTTTATTTCCATTGAAGCGTATTGCATTCACTAAAGAAAAAAAATCAGACAGCTTATCTCATAATTAGATAGATCAGTATCTCGCAATTATTAGATCTTGTATCGTAATATGGTATCTTTTCTCATAATTACGAGATAAGATCTTATAATTACGAGATTTTGATCTCTTAATTCTGAGACCCTGGTCTCAATATTATGGGATCATATCTCATTATTATGAGAAAAGATCTCATAATTACGAGATAAGATCTCATAATAACGAGATATTGATCTCGTAATTATGAGATAAGCTGATTTTTTTTTTCCTTTGATGAATGCAATATGCTTCAGTACATATCCACTTTAACTCATTTAGAATGAAATGTTTGCTGATGAGGATTTTCAATCTACTTCTAGCACTTATTTACAGCTGCATTTCATTACTAAGGACCATTAGTGCAAGAAGGTAATGTAAGATAAAATCGTGGCAGGTTTTCGATTAACGCCACAGTGGTGTGTACCCTATAGAAGCTTGAAGTGTTTAAAATGACCAAATATCTTTCTGTTTGTTGCCATTTCACGTGGTTCTGAGTCCCAAATGGCACAATCAATTTTTGTCAATTTCTTTACTGATGTTTTGCATTATTGCATAGATAAACATTGATGTGTTCTTTGACAACTTTAAATCTGTAATGTCTCCACAATATCCACAAAAATTCAAAAATGCATACCACAACAGGAAAGACAACTTATTTTTGAGTAAAGGGATGCATCCAGTGTGCCATGATGAAAAGAGATTACACAAACTCTAAATGTCTACGCTACCTGGTGTTGTAAAGCTCAAAATTGTCATTTCAAATTAAATTAACAATGAAATATTTTTTTTATTCAGCTCAGGTAGTATTATACCAGCTAAGTAATATCTTGAGGGGTGAACGTACCATAGCATCTATGACAGAGAGAAGATGAAAACCATTATTATCCACCACAGCAAGTGATAGATTCAGTGTAATTTTTACCTCTTCATTGCTGCTGCTTCATTGCTTTCTCTTTATAGCATTTTCTTTTAAGTGTTGCCTTACTCTGATCACTGCTTCACGTAATATGTGGAACGTGTAGGTTTTTCACAACCACATGAGAAAATGCTCACAGCTATGCTAAGTGCTAATTTTGCGAATTAATTTTCATTATTTTTGCTTAAAAATGATACCTAACTGCAAACCTCTCATTAAGCAGAGTCATCACCTGGTACCTCTCAAAAATTCCACATTAAACCTGAAAAGTAAGGTGGTAACGCGAAATGTTGATTAAAGCCCATAATCAAGATACTTGGGATTAGAAAGGGACATGCTTTGTTTCTTAAAAGATAGTCTTATTTAGTCATAATACATCATGTAAACATTTCCTCTATAGCTTTGGAAGTCATTTATTGGGTTTTGTTACTTGTTGTAAAATTGTCAGTTTTATTTAAGAAGTTGGTCTTTATTCACTTCCTATAGCGAAATTCATTTTTTAAGAATCTTTCTGAGGCATTTTTCAACTGTAATCATATCATAGTGCAGTCTGGATCTACTCGCAACATGTAATCACATTTAGAAAGCAATTGTACAGTTTCCTTTTTTTGTTCATCTGTTATGATGAATTAACAAAAGCTAGTAGAGAGTTAAGCCTTCTAAACAAGTTTTTTATGACAGCGTCGTATTTAACTGAATTATTTAGCAATTTAAGAATCAAATACTTTACAGTTTAGCTGTCTAAGCCTAATTAGCTGTCCAAATTTGCTAACTTTTTAAATAGCTATTTAAATAGCTTGCCTAAATTTTGATAAGGGAAAAAAATTTTCAGGTAAAAATTCAGGTAAAAAGCAAAATAACTAAAATTCCTAATTAGTCTAAAAAAAAAAAAAAAAAACGCAAAATTGCCAGTTCATTGAAATCATCTGTTTGGCTGTTTAATCTTGATTAAATGAATAGTTCAATTAACAATCTAGCTATGTTTAGCTTATTAAACAGTTAAATAGCTAAACAGCCTTTGGTCCGATTTAGTAAAATTAGCTAAAAGCAAATTTGGCATCAAAATAGGTTATTTAGTTAGAAAATATTTAACTAAATAGTCTTAATTATTTAAACAACTAAATTCGCTTTTTAGATAAATTGAATAAACTTTAACACTTACTTTGCTGGCAAAAAAAAGTCACCTCACCTAAAACCTGTCACATCAAAACAGACAGAAATTGGTGATTCAATGGCCTGAATCTCAAAATCACCCTCTGTGTCGTCAGTGAAACCTTTTTCAATAATTTAGCTTTACAGTCTTTATCAAATAATTTCATTTTTTACATTGCTGTTCTGGTCTGTTTCAAGTCCTGTCAGTCACAGGAATTTTGAGTTCATTAAAATGTTCCTTAAGGTAGCTCCAAGATAATTAAGCAATCAAAATAGCTAATTACACAGTACTTAACTAATTTATCTTATTTATCTGAAAAACTAAATTACCTTTTAAGCTAAATTACCTAAGTTCTAACATTTATTTTGTTTGCCTGAAAAGTCAGACTTCACTTAAAAAATATCACAGTAAAACAGGCAGCAATTAGTGCTTCACTAGGCTGAATGTTTTGGGGTTTTTTATATATATTTTCAATCCATATTTTGTTACATTTCCTCTCACTGAATCCATTAGTTTGTGTAACTGTACCATAAATGTTTTGTGTACACAATGAAGTTGGAAAGTTGTTTTTGCAAAATGTCTCTCATCTGCTGGTGAAAATATCATGATGTTAAACTTTCAATGAGATGAAAATACAGAAAAAAAAAATACCCACATAGATTTAGCTTTGAAGTCCTTGCCAAACCATTTTTATATTTTAGGCTTTTATCTTGTTTGTTTCCAAGTTAAAAACCTTTCAGTCACAGTAAGTCTGAGTTCATTAAAATTTATCTGTGCAAATACTTTATCTTTAGGCTCTCTCTGATAACTTCTAAGGTCAAAAGGTTTTATGTTGAGAAGCTCTTATTTTTTTTATTTTATTTTATTTTTTTGTTTTTGCATGTCATCTTGTAGCCTCAAACCTTCGCAGAGAAATTACATAGTTCTACAATTTCTCTCTCTTTTTCACTAACCCCAATCAAACAGTGTGAACTTTACACATATTTGACACCTCTCCGACTCACAGTTAGAAGAGCAACACTTGTTTGGCAATTAGTGAGAGACATTATTGTATTGCCTGAAGAAATAAAAAAAAAAGACCAGAGAAAAACGAATAACCACTGCCTTAAACAGACCTCTTCATACGTATCATTATAAAGAAAATAAAAAAGTGAAGGACATAATGTAGTGCCTTCTCCTTCTGATCTTGAGGCATTTGGTTAGAATTTCACTCTTGTACATAGATCTGTCCTTTCTAACTTTCAGGCCGATGCTCAGCCAAGTTGTCTCTTCATTCACTACAAAATTCCATCGTAATTTGGATCAAAATTACTAAAAACATAAAAGAGTGGGAACATATTAATTTTGAAAACAAATATGTAAACTTTTTATGATTCTTTGAACAGTGGTCCTGTATTCATAACAAAAAAAAGTAATTTATTTAGTCTTAATTATGTTTCACCTTTACGGTACTTGCTATTTTTAAAAATCCTGGGCAAGGACTGAACAACATTTACAGAGAGGGATACATTGATAAAATAAGCTGAGATATAAACAAATAATTTCTTCTTTTGTTTCTGGATCATGGAGTTGCGGTGTCATGGAAACAGCTATGTGCATGACAAGTGTTATTCTGGGCTTTGATATTTATCTTAAATGGTAACTGTTGCTTTTGATGGATTAACTTAAAAAGGCTGTTGGGAGAAAAAAAAATAATATAATTTTTCATTTATGTTTACTTACATTATATGTAGTATTTTTTCTTCACTCTCTCAGGTTCATGAGTCTTCTAGTTGTGTTTTTTTTTATTTTTGCATCTCAGGTAGAATGCAAATTTTAAGCCCCGAGTGTATATATCTATGCTGTAGTACCACAGGTATTGGAAAACGTAACAAAAATCACAAGATGTACATGTTTCTCTCAGTTGTACATGTTTCTGTGTTTAATATGGTGCACTGTTAAAGTAAATGTTAAATATTATTTTGCATAGACCTAGTTCACAAAGAAAACTAGATTTGTTAAGCAGCTGAAAACAATGTACAGTTGATGTTAACGAAATCACCACAATGTTCATGACACTTCTTCTTCCACTGTAACACTTTACTCATATGGTATGGGTTAATTAGTAATTACAGGATGTTTTCACAGCCTTCGAACATCTGTTTGCATCATGCATAGCTTTTCCTAATAGAAAATGGTGTATTTACTGTGACATGAAGTTTTATGAATGATCTGTAACCTCTTGGATATTTGAAAGAAACTCATGTTTAAAGCTTAGGGAGGGAGAAAGGGACATTGGGAGAAAATAAATGGGGGGGGATGATTGTTTTATAATCCCCAGATTGGTTGTTTAAGTTGTTGAATCTTGAATTTATTTTTGTTCCCAAGTGACATTGTTTTTCTTTTGTGTAGTGATGAGGGTGTTTTCTCATTTGACCATCATATTTTGTATTGGTTCACACCAACATTTTTACGAAAGAAAAAAAAAAATCTAAAGAGTACTTGTCTTAATAAAAAGATATCAATGTTTAAACCCATTTGTTGCTTTATTCTGTTTAAAACATTGATTTCACTGAATTGTATTTTTATCATTGGCAGAGACTAAAGACTGCAATTTAGATTCACATCAAACTTATGTACCGGTATTTGTAAAAAGATTAGCAATATACCACAATGAAAACGAGTGAGAACTAAATGTGAAAAATGGGACATTGGAGTGGCCATCCATCCATCCATCCATCTTCCTCCGCTTATCCGGGGTCGGGTCGCGGGGGCAGCAGCTTTAGAATGGAGGCCCAGATTTCCCTCTCCCCAGCCACTTCTTCCAGCTCTTCAGGAGGAACCCCAAGGCGTTCCCAGGCCAGCCGAGAAACATAGTCTCTCTAATCTGTTGCCTGACAAAACGTGTAACCTTCTAGAGATTTTGGCTCCGTACAACAGAACTGTGTTTTACAAAAAACAAAAATAAGGGATTAAGTCAGGATTATCCAGATATGCTGTCTTAATTAAGACTTTGTTTCAAAAACAGGACTTGCTTGCATTGTATCGTAGACTCTACAGAAATCCCTTTCACTGAGCATGCATACAGTGACAGTGAAGAGAAAAAAAAAACCTCCAGCAGAATCAGGCATGATTAGAGATGTCCCGATCCAGGTTTTTGCACTTCCGATCCGATACCGATATTGTTTTTGGACTTCCGATCCGATATCGATACTGGCCGATACCAGCCTATCCGAGCATGTATTTAAGTTTAAGTTAAAGTATTTAGCCTTAGTTGTAAGACTCATGTTGAAAAGGGTTTTAGTACTCTTGATAACATCTAGCCAGCTAAATTAGGTGAGATTGAATAAAACACAATGCTTGGTAACAACAAACTTACCTGTTTATTAAGCACACAAACTGGACAAAATTATGAATAGCAATCTGAAATTGCACAGTGAACAGTAAAACCGTAAACAGCTAAAGGTGCAAGTATTACTGTAAGTTTTAATAAAAATGCAAAACAGGGAAACACTGGCGCAAAATAGTGGAATGGATCGTTTCAATCGGCGAAACTGGAAAATACGGACCGGATTTTTTTTTTTAAAACTGGATCGGCATTTTACATGCTTTGCCGATACGCATTTTTTTGCCAATATCGGCGTCCCGATCCGATCCACGTATCGGATCGGGACAAGCCTAGGCATGATGTGGGCGGCCTTCTGCTAAGGCTTACTAAGCATCAAAGGAGAGAAAAGAAGACCCAAAAAAGGAACATAGAAGCATTGATTTATAAATACTTCAATGTTGGAAAAAGTGTAATAGTAAACTAGCCCCATAGATTAGGTGAGTTTGTCTAGAAAAGCATTACTTGAGCAGATTAACAGTGAGCCACTTTTTATGTCAAAAAGGATAAAAGAGAGCACATACAATTACCCACTGTAAAAGCTGAAATTCTTGGAGAGAAACAGGATTAAGCACTGAAATAAAACAGATTCAACTCTATCATCTCTAATGTAAGTTGTTGATGGCAGCAGCCCAGCTTATGGCTGCTGGTGTGCTGCACACATCAACATAAAAAGCCCTTCTATGACAAAATCACCTTCATGTGCTTTTGTTAACAGAAAAAAACAATCAGGTCAGAGTAAGTCATTACTAGGCCTATTGATACCTACATACGGTGATTATGTGCATTCAATTACCTGAAATAATTGCTTAACATGATCTTTGATGCTGAATGCATCTTCAGCAACATGGAACGCAAACTGGCAGAAAGGAGCAGCAGGTTTAGGAACCAATTATGTAAAAAACACAGACACTAAGAAAGTTTTTCTAACAAAGGGTGGCATAACAAATTATTAGGTTTGTAGTACCATAACATTGTTCTAATTTGACTCTAATCAAAATGGCAAAATCTCGTAAAAAGTTTTAACATTTCTTTTAAAAAAGCACTATTAGTTAAACAGGTATACACATGTAAGCATGTTTTAAAGTTTTAAAAAACATCCCTGCCCTAAACAGTCTTTTTTTTTTTTGCAACTCATATAGCCTACTCTTAAGTAGAAACAACCCCAATAACAAGTCACAACAATATTGATAGCAATATTTTAGTCTAACATCCTGTTATAGCACTCTTTTTTTTTTGTAAAGATTAAAAGTGTTTAGACATTGATTGAGCTCCATATTCAGACTTTTCCAAAGTTGTATCTTGGTATCAATTCATATTTCAAAAATCAGTTTGATGAAGCTTAAGTGAAAAATTCAGTCTAGAAGACTCTTAGCAGCCTCACCTGGATCCCTTACTGATGTGTTATGTACAAAGCTCCAGCCAATCGATATCAGAACCACCTCCCCTCCACAGCCAATCATTTTTCAGGATCCCCTTCATTCAGCTCCTTGTCCAGCTCTCCTCCTGCATTAGAGCTGATTTTAACTGAATATTCTCCCTGAGATCAGGATATTCTTAATCTCGCCCATCCTCTGGCATAATCTACCTCTAGTGTCTGAGCCTCGACGGAAGACCAATCTAATCTTTTCCTAAGCTATGCATTCAACCGCATGTCAGTTCACAGTATTAAAGTCTTTTGCCGGGATCTGAGTGCCAATGAACATATTTCATACATGGCAATAAAATCTCCCTAATTTCAGATTTTCTGTGTGTGAGTCCTTCCAGGTTTTATCACGGCTGTCAGCTATTTTTTTCATGTTATCCTTGTTGGTTTTTTTATGTTTTTAATAATAAAAAGTAATTTTTTTAATGATGTAATTTAAAATATTCAGTATTTGTTGGTCACAGCTGCAGTGCAACATGGGTCAGTGTGTGACCCATGTACAGAGGCTTAGTCCTCGTCCATAGGTTTGAGTCCTGAAGTTGTGAAATTTGACTCCTATTATCTGTCTGCCTACTTTCAAAAATAACAAGAAAATCAAGACTTAAAAATATTCTGTTTATGTTAAGTTTGTTTTTATCTCATATTTATTGTATTTTCTTTTACCAATCCTTAAAATATTTATCGTTTAATATCTTTTATATCTACTTCTTTAGTTATTGTCCTTTTTGTTTGGGATTTTTATTGGACGGTGTTTATCATATAGCATCAAAAACATATAGAAAATACTCTTTATGCCATATGTATATGTTTCATTGATAGATAGTGAGAATACAGAGAAGCTAGAGAAT